GTGTTGGATTGTAATTCTTTTCATTTGTAGCTTCATTGATATGATCATGTTCTTCTAATTTGTGTTCTGTTATCTGATTTGTTTGTTCACTCGCCATCATTTTCTGGGTGTTTTTTGATTGTAGATTTAGATTAGAGATGTGCTTATTTATGTCATCAAAGTTGTTTTGGATTTCCTTGTGCTTTAAATCTATTGTCAGTTGCGTACATTTCCTCTTGAAAAGTGTTTGTCTTGCCTTGAAATGTTGCTTCTGGAAGTCTTTGATATTCCAGGCTGAATCCTTCAGGAGTGAATATTGAGTGTGGTGTCCTGTCATTTTTTGATAAGTGTACGATATCCATGTTGTCTCCCCCCTTCAAATAGTCTTTCATCAATATTTTGGTTTGGGGTTCATTATCAATCAGTCAAAATTGTAATTCAGTATGTTAAGCCACCTCAAGTCCTTCCTGTAGATTCTCCTGTAAAAGATTAGCCAAGAGCCAAAGTTTTTCTTTTTCTTTAAACAATTCTTAAATTTAGTCAACAGTCCGGGTATTTTTCTTTCAGACATTTTTTAATCTTATGGCTGGGCCAGCTCTTTCTTTGTTTCTAGCTGTCTTCAACGTTATTTAAAATTTAAGGGAACAGATTATTCTTTGTTTCTGGGTGCCCTGCCAGTTTCTGAATCATTATTGTTAGTATTCTGTGCTCTAATTCTCCACTAGATGTTCCTTTTCCAGTTTTTTCAGATAAAAAATTATTATTGTTATATATTTTTATAATTTCATTAAAACCCTTTCAGGTGTAGTCTTAGTAGTTTTTTTAGTTTCTAGATTTGTCCAAATTGTAGTATTTTAAATTTAATTTCAGTCTATTTCTTTCGCCCTTAGTATTAATTCGCCGCTTCCATATAGTCCCCTCCCTTCACTTTCGGAGGTTTTCTTGCTTTGGGGGTCTTTCCCAAGGATTGAGTTAGAAGATAGAATAGAGAAAATCGATACTCTCACCAATTCCAAGTACGCTGTTCACCAATGTTCTTGTTCGTGCTCCTGGACTTCGGCTGCAGGTAGCTTGGGCTAGATGCCGATGTCACACTAGCCTTTCTCCTGTCGGGTTGGAGGGCTTCCCCCGGATTGAACAAAACGATCACTGTTTTTTAGTGATCAACAGAGCGCTCCTCCTTCACGGTCACCTCTTCGGGGCAACTTCGGACCCATTTAGGGTCCCCCTGGCAGGACAAAACTGGCTGCGGGGAGCAGAGCTTCACTATCCCACAGCTGTATGCTATGGCACAAAACTGGAAGTCCTTAACTTGATCAAGTTCTTGATGTAGGTCTTTTGTTTTAATTTTGCTAATCATTTGTAGTTAAGACTTTAATTCTTGATTGAAACAAAAAAGAATTTATATGAATACACATCATTCATATGCTACTTAGTTAATACATACATATTATCCAAGGACTTGGTTTACATTTAGGTCAGTTTGACTTAATTTTAGAAGAGGAAAAATTATGGAAAATAGAGTAGTTTAACAGTAATAGAACATCAGAGCTCTTCAAGAAAACGCTCTGTAGCCATCAGGAAGGAGGAACTGTAAATTTGGTGGAAAAAGACTCTGATGCTGGGAAAGATGGAAGAAAAGAGAAGAGGATGGCCAACAGCAAGGTGGGTGGACTCAGTTACAGTGGTGATGACTGTACTGTTGGGAGGCTTGAAAGTTAGGAATAGATCATCATGGGAAGAATTCTAAGTGGTTGTTAGGAGTTGAAAACAATCAATGTGTAGTTTATGAATTTGGCCTATTGAAGACTATAAAGTTGGTTCTGATTAGGGTTAAAAAAAGTTATGTTATTTCTGCTTACGCTTTGTGGACTTTTGCTGACATGGATTTGTTATAGATAACAAATGGGATATGGGATAAAGAGGTAAATGTTTGTAACCTTAGGTAAAGAGTCACTAAATTTATTAATATGTTGTGATGAAGGTTGAACCCACTTCTTTATATATTTCTTTTCTCTTATATTTTTACCTTTCTCTTTCTTCTGTCTTTTCTTTTTCTTGCACTTTTTACTTCTTCCTATTCTCTTTTCTTTAAGTTTAGTTCGTATTAGATTTTACTGGTATACTTAACATTCTTAATAAAAACCATATACATAAAAAATCAAGAAGTGAAACCTATTAAATTTAGTAGGGTATTCCCAAAGAATTGAATGTTGTGCAATCTTAATTTTTGCATCCATCCAAATACATAAGGCACCAATGTTTGAATTTAAAAGTATATATCCTTTGCCTTTGGAGTGAATAGAATAAGGTCTCAAGAACATTATAGCAGAAGAAATAATGAAGTATTTCTTGGCTCTCTGAAACATGGTTGTATTCCCATGCTTATGCATGCTTGTAACAGTCAAACAGTCATTATTTATAATAAAGATTATATGAGTATCCAATACTTAAAAGAGAATGTTGATTTATACAGCAGGTTGTAATTCCTATTTTAGATTTATGGAAAACTATAACCATACCAAGTTTAAATAAACATTCAAAAGGATTAGCTGCCCCAATATTTTGTTTTTCAAAATTCATAAAATGGAAGGAAAAAGCATTTACTATTTTGCTATTATAAAATATATTATTATATAATATGTAATATTATACTATGTAAAACATATATTATTAACATATATTATAAACAAAATTCATATATATGTGAACACACACATGCACACACTTTACATTAATGTAAAGAGTAATCTTCTGTTGGGAAATAGCTACATTTCCATGGCAACCTCAGCATTCTAAATAATTTCATGAATCCAAAGAGGATACTGAATGACAAGGAAAATTAAGGAAAATAAGTTTCTGCAGAAGACTAGATATACATGAGCCTCTCATTTATATAACTTTCATCTGGTTGAATAGGTCTCTGTGCAACTTGCTACGTTCTTCATAGATTAGCTCAAGAGTAGTTTATAGAAAATTCCACAAACAACATTTTTTTCAGGTAGAAGGGGAAAGAAGAAAATATGTGATTATTACTTCCTCTTGAGGCCCTTTTAAGGTTGAAATCTTATCCTGCCTTTGGTATAAATTAGAGTTTCGTGTTAAGTTGGAAATTCACAATAATGTTTAGTATAATATCAAAAACTGCTACTCCTTACATACTCATTCATATTAATGGATAGAAGAGAAGGGTGTGCTTTAAAATACAAGATTAAATAAGATAACAAGAATTGCTTCGGTATCTGTTCTTTTATTTTCAAATCTGCAGCTTATCCCAGCTTCCATCAGTGTGTTACAAAAGTTTTAGTAGCTTCAGCTGAAGATTCAGACTGTCTAATTTTTAAGATTATTATCATTGTGTACTTTCTGCTTCATTTTCTAATTAAATTTTATGTGGATTTTAGAGGACATAATCCTCTAAATTACAAATATGAAATAAGTTTTAGGGCCTCTAGGATTTGCAACAAATTTACAGTTTAGCAATATTTTATTAGCTCAGGTACCATTTTGACTTTTGTGATTATAACAGCAGTTCCCATTTGTTTTATACTGAATGTTCTTCATGGCTTTTGAGTTATAAAATCTCCAGTCCTATAGTCTAGGAGGATTTCTTTTTGAGAATGAATTTCTATTTCTTCAGGCTTGTGCACATACTGGAAACCTTAGGATAGGAGACATGTTGCCTGCTCTGTTCCCTTGGTCTTATGGTAAAGCAACTCTGGGGCTGCTTGCTGCACCACGGGTCTTGAGGCAGCTTTCCTCAGTGGTGGTGGTGAGCCCAGTGGAGGTGAGGTAGAACACAATGATTGCCCCTAGGAGAACAGAGAGGAAGGTCCACTGGAGGTCATGGCAGTGGAATACAGTGGTCTCTTCAGGCTGTGGAGGGAAACCAAAAGGGCAGAAATGGGGGGATGTAGGTGGTGGGCAATACAATTGCCTTTATGCCACATAAATTATTTATTTAGCTGCTTGGAATAAATAAATACTGCCTCTAAATACATATTGTACAATATAACTTATTTCAGTATTTTTTTGTCTAGGAAAAAAATGAAACAAAATTAATAGATTCTAGTTTGACTTTTCAAAGCTATAGGATTTCTGCCAAGTTTTAATGAACATCAGACTAATCTTTCATTATTATTATTATCTGTCATTGTTGATCTTAACCAAGTGGAATGTACTGTAGTTAGTGCTGAGTTAAAGCTATTCATTTCGTGTTCAATTAGCTGGTCTGGGAGCAGTGTTCTTCTAATCAGCAATATCTTCTTCCTTGCTCCTTTATTGGCTTGGTTTAATCTGGTTAACAGTATTAATTTGCATTGTTTTGAAATTGCATTTGAAAGTGTAATGTCATAGCATCTACAAAAAGGAACCATATACGTTCTAAATATATTGAATTAAACTGAATGACAGCATCAGCAAATCATGTTGAGTAGAATGAGAATAAAAAGAATAAATTAAAGTGGAAAACAGCACCAGCTATAGGGGAAAAGGGTTTCCAAAGAATTAGGAGAGACTAATATATGTAGCAAGATGAATATTTTTTTCATTAATTTATCATGATGACTCCAGGTTCTATTTTAAGATAGTCACATATTATTTTATCCTGCATTTGAGCACTGCTCTGTTTTCTTACTTTGTTCCAGACTATAGAAATAAAAAATAGGCAAAGAGAAATGTTTTTATTGTTGAAAAATAACAATAATGCATATATATATATGTGTGTGTGTGTGTGTGTTAGAAAAACAAAAGAAGAATCAAACACCAGGAAGAAAATACAAGCAAGACTGTTTAATGTAAAACCACTTAGCTTTCGTCGGTCAAACTGCCGACATCGTCAGAGTGAAAGTAGAGGATCCTGGAGTTTACTTATATAGCCGGCTGCTTCTGCGCCCTGCTGTGTGTGTGTGTGTGTGTGTGTGTGTGTGTGTGTGTATCGCATCATCCTGTGATTCATGGAGAAAGAGTTGTATTAGTGTTTTGGGTGATGTATGCATTTATTAGTTTATATCATTTTCCAGAGAGCAGAAAGACAAGCACGAGTGATGGACTCAGCACAATATGCAGAATTCAGTGAAAGCCGTCAGTTGAGCTTTTGTAAGTATTGTGTAAACTTTTTACTCTCATAACTAGTATTTTGCAAGTTGGTAGTGGTTAAAAAACAAATACATTTAGTGCCAGGACAAGAAAAAAAAAAGCCATTTGCACCTATCTTGCAATAATGGCACTGTTTCTTTGTATTTCCCCCCCAGAGGCTTTTAATTTATCTGGTAAGCCTACTAAATGCACATAATCAAAACACAAGGCTGTTAAAAAGGACATGAGAGTACATTCAAGTTCAATGTGTCTCATTATAGATGAATTTGGGAGTCCCTTCATAAGATTCCTTGTATTAACTTCTTGTACATGTTCACCTGCAGTATGATTGTATAAATTGATTACATATGATAGTGATTGTCTAGCCATTTGATATTTAATGCTCTCAAAATCCTGAAATAATTTTGGGAGTTTTCCCCCTATTTTCCCCCTATGGAAAAAATAGAAAAATAATAAAGGCATGCTCATTCAAGGATCTGCTTAAAAAAAGCAGAATGAGATGGCAAGTTAATGCCATCAATAGGAGTAAGGAAAAGCACAACTGATATTGGAATTAATTTTAAAGCTATAGCCAGTTTTTAATTAATTAATTAATCTGCTAAAGTTACCCCATATGCACCTACGTTTTCAAACAACATAACTTTAATTATCTATTACTTTATTAAGGGTCTTTGTCATAAAACAATAATAAAAATAACTACAAATAATGCTAAGAGCTTAGAGGTCAAAGAGACAAAAAGAGCACAATGAAGGAGTCATAAAAAAACCTCAACAAAATAGCACAGTGTGTTCCAATGATAAATGAAAGCACAAAAGCACAAAATTTTTAAATGAAAGGCACTTATCTAGTTTTCCATAACAAGCTTTTGATTTGGAGAAATGACTGGTTCACTTGAGGATCACAATGTGAAGAATAAATGACACATCCACAATTGTGTTTTCTGTAAATGTCAAATAGCAGAGACGTTTGGTGTGTAAGTAGTGTTTTTGCTGTTCCATTGCTTTTTTCTGAGTTCGTTTTAAGCATCTGTAAATAGTTAAGTGAAAACTCTTCATCTTAAAATGTGATAACCTCACATTTTACACCTTTTAATTATAATCAAGGGTACACCTTGATTATATATATCTTTCAGACAATAGTATTGAAAATTTGAACTTGGAAAAACACTTATATAAATACATATTGTTTTCTGAGATACTGTAGTTAGTAGAATTCATCCACACAGAAATGAAAACATAGTATAAAAATAATAGATATTTTTGAAACATCTGATTCAAAGCTGCTTATTTGAGAAATATTGCACAGACTTGGTTAAAGAATGAAATGTATTTTGAGATAAATCAAAATATTGGTCAGATATTGATAGAAATCATATTCAGAAATAAGTGACAACATGGAACATTGGATTCCATATTCATTTGTAATCAATGTAGGAGGCTCACATCACCTGCCCTCTGAATTGAAAACTATCTAAATGTAGGATCTTATCAGTATGCTTTGTAAATGGTGTTTCTACTTCTTTTTTCAAAATGCCAGAATGACTTTTTTAAAAAGAAAAGAAACATATTTAAAATATATTTTAAAGTATATGGAAGCTTTCATTTCTTTTAATATTATATCCATTTATCCAAAAGTACCATTATTATTTATTTAGCATAAAGAAATGGTACATTAGCCAAGAGATTACAATGTTAACAAAGTAGTTGTTTGGCTGCCTAAGACTGCTAGCTTCTTTGCTAGCAACAAAGATCAGATTATTTAATTCCATTGTCATACTGACTGCCATCTATGCCAGTGAGATCTGGAAATCTACAACACGAATTATTCATAAGATCAGTGTCTTCCAACAATGTTGTCTCAGAAGGATTCTTCGTATCACATATGAGATAGTGACAGAATGAAGAATGCTCTTTGCTGGACATGTACTCCGCATGAGTGAGTAATGTCCAGCAAAAACCACAATCAATTGGATATCACCTGATGGTAGAGAAAAAGAGGAAGGCCAAAGATAACCTGGTGCCAAATATTTCAGGAAGATTTGAAAACATCTGCCTTAAATGGAAGGATGCAGAGATTGTAGCTGTGGACCGAAAATTGTGGCATATGCTTGTAGCCAGTGGTGGGATTCAAATATGTGAACAATCGGCTTTCTGTGTAGATGCCTCTTCCGGAAGTCTGTTCTGGGCCTGGGCAACAAAAAATTAGCTACCAGTTTTACCGAACTGGTGCGAACTGGCTGAATCCCACCACTGCTTGTAGCCCAATGTGCTCAGCATAGGACGTAATGATGGTGATGGGCTCCTTCGCTGTATAGTTTGTTTAAGTTGTGCCTTAAGCCATGAAAGTCAGCTGAATGACCTTAGGCCAGTCATTCTCAGCCCAACCCACCTCACAGAGTGTTTGTTGTGGGGAAAATAGGAGGAGGAAAGTGTGTTAGATATGATTGCTGCCTTAAGTTATTTGTACAAATAATTACTTACTTACTTACTTACTTGTAAAGGAATTCAGATTCCTGAATGTTGGATTCCATCACTTACATTAGAGATTACAAGGTCTTACTCTTCATAAGAAACAGTAGAAATCAGAAGATACAAGGTTAATATTTTTTTTTTTCAATACAGCCAAAAAAGCCTCCAAATTTCGAGACTGGTTGGACTGTAGTAGCATGGAAATAAAACCAAATGCAAGTGCTATGGAAATGCTGTCTTATTTAGCATATGAGACAGTAGCACAGGTAAATGAAAAAATGTTTATATTTCTGATAATTTGAGGGGAAGATGCCATTTAGTTACATTTGAATTTGAGGGCAATCATGGACAGCAGCTACAATGGATTCAATCAGCCTAGGAAGATCTCCCCTACACTTTTGTTCCCCACCTCTCCTTAGCCTCCAGATACCATTTCTTTAAATTCAAGGATGGAATATCCAACCACCTTGCCCATTCCTCCTCCTGTTTTTCAAATGTGTTACCTCCACTGATTGGCCTTGTTTTTCTCCTGTTCTTCTAACCTTGAAATAGTTCTGCTGAAAACATGCTTGCTTCAGGTCTATGTGTGTTTTAGTCTAGATAATGAACTACCCCAAACTGGCTGTTCCATATGCTGGAAGGTGGGTGCTTCGAACATTTTGCATGTCTATATTGCAACTTAATATGGAAAGATACTATCCTCATAGAAAGACAAAAAAAAAAAACATGCCTGTAATACTTCCCAGGACTAATATCAAAACACTAAAAACTCTTTCTCCTTTTTCCGTGCATCCTTTGCCTATTAATAGTCAATCAATTTAAGATTTCCATCTGTTCATTTTTAAATTGTCATTTTTCCTTAGCTGGTGGACCTGGCCCTTTTGGTCAAGCAGGACATAATACCGAAAGCTGGTGACCCTTTTAGTCATGCGATATCTGCTACTTTTATTCAGCATCACCATTCTGAGGTAAATATGACTTAAAGTTTATAATTTACAGTATGTAATTTATTGTTTTACTTTATGTATCATTACAAGGACTTACATTTCAATTATAGGAATATTTATGGAGGCTCTAATGCAGGGGTGTCAAACTGCCGGCCCGCGGGCCAGATGCGTCATCAGGAAGCCACGCCCACCCCATTGCCGGCAATGCCAAAACCGTCCCGATACGCCATGTGATGTCACGTGACGTCGCGAGTTTGACATGTCTGCTCTAAGGGGTCTAAATCACTTTTCCTGAACATACTTTTCTCCACCACACCTTTCTCCATGTAAATGAATATATATATATATATATATATATATATATATATATATATATATATATATATATATATATATATATATATATATATATATAT